TACATACATACATAATGTATATATCGAATCTTATGGAAAAAGTGGCAATCACTGTTTTTATGCCTTGCAATACCTTGTGCAATAATAAAATAATAAAATAATTTAACACTAAACTAGCAATTGATATACATGTTTCATAAAAGCAATTGTTTCCTTCTTGGCATTTTAAACTGAAGTAAATAAATGATTCTATTTTATATATCTATATAAAAAAGACATAGTTGCTTTTAAGAAAAAGTATGCAGATGCGTGTTGCAAATTACATATTTTTTCTTAAAGGAAATATGCCTTTTTTTATACCAATTGATTCGTCTCATTATTCTGTGCATAAAAGTGTTAAGGTAACATTACCGAAAACTTAATTTTTTACAAGATATTTTGTATTTTATGTCAAAATACTAGAACTTTCAAGCATTATAATTCCAAAAGTTCTTAATGAAAAAATACTTTATTATAGTGTTTTGAAAAGCTCTCGAGATTAGCTACAAGAATATGCATTGAAAAATAGGGATTTCCATTTAAGAAATTAAAGGTGAGTGAGCTTTAAACGATCATCCAAGGTGAAACCAATGGCACCATCTTATGTGCCCCTTCGATCCAAACAACTTTTGTATAAAACATTTCTTCCGAAAACGTCAACTTTCCGAGATAATCCAGGGTCCCGACCTTTTTGTTACACCCGGTATATATATATATATACCGTATATATATATATACATATATTATTCCTTTATATATATTTATTGTAAAGTATTTTCATATATATAATTGTCAATTACATCAAAAAGATATAAAAAGATACAAATATTGAAAAAATTATAAAAGATTTGTACATTTCTGATGATAAAACAGTGATTATATAAGGTAAAACTCCCTTCTTTGGAATAATCGAATAGCCAAAACAGTCGATAATGTCAGTATTCTTCAATTACCACCGGGCCCCCGGGCAGTCACGAAAATTTACCCCAGGGTTGTCGGTCTTTAATAGTATCTCGTCGGTGACTATATTTACTAAAATATACTCAAAGCGGAAATATCCCATTAATGGCGGACGACCAATCCGCATCCTACAGCCTCGGTGTCCTATTTCTCATTAAAGGATCCCTAGTCCAAAGCGTGAAGGCTTGCCCTCTACCCAGTCTAATAATCCTTGCTTATTTATTTTTGTGTACGTCGACTCACTACATCGCAACTTAACCGACTTCTATTTAACGCTATTCTAAATCTTACAATTGTTTCTGCGTTTACATCAGCGAGCATATTTAAATGCATATATTTATCTAATTGATAACACGTGCGGTTTTGACAATGGAAAGTAACAGCAAAGAGGGAAACAGTGGAAAACCACGCGAAACAGTGACGTTGGTTCTCAAAGAGGAGCGATTCGAAGTTGAGAAGCAAAAATTGATCGACAAGAGTCAGTACTTTGCTGCGCTTTTATCCGCGAATTTTCTAGAATATGGACAGACAGAACACATTGTCAACTATGATATTTCCTCGATTTTGCTGCAGGTTAGAACATTCTAATTCTTGGCTGATGTATTTACAGAAAAAAGTCGCTTTTAAGCGTACAAAACATTGGTTTTTTTTTATGTGTAACGGATTTGTTATATCAAAATACTTAATATAAAACGCAAGTTTTTAATAAATAAATGTATATATTAAAATTGTATCGGGTTTTATTAGCACGAATAATCTCATTGTGCAACCAAAATAGATGCATAATAATTTTATAGGATTTTATTGGTTGGACTCATGACAAAATTGCATTTACATCTGCAACAAGTTATGACTTTGAAGAGCTTGATCGTCTCTTGAGTTTATTGGAATTAGGCATTCTATTTGCAGCAGATAAATTAATAGAAGATATAACCGACAGGCTTGAGAGACATTTTATGTTACCAATATATGCGATTAAAATTTGGTTACTGGCACAAAAATTAAATATTAATGTGCTACGAGATCTTTCTTTGGCTGTTTGCTTAGATCGTTTCGATGAACTGCCACTCGATTCAATTTATGAGTTGTCGAAAGAGCATTTTATGAAGTTAATTGGAAACATCAATTTAAGAGCTACAGAATCTCATTTGCTTGATATTACACGCGAGTGGATGAACCATCGTCATGTGAGTATATTATGTTCAAAAATTACATTTAGAATAATTTAATTTTAGAAAAAATACAGCAATTATAGATCTTTATTTCTAATGTATTTTGAATAAAATGGAGATTTCTAATTCCGATACATATATTCCCCATATTTATTTTGTTTTTATTTCTATTTATATATTCTACTATACATTAATGATTAATGCATTACAATTCTATGAATATAAAATCTCTTTTTTTGCAGGATTTTACAATTCCTTTATATATCTTGGAGAAGAAGAAACAAAAAATTTTACAGGGTATTATATCTTGTGAAGATAATAATGGTGAACAATATATTCATTGCTGGGATGGTAATGATTTTTTTGAGTTAACTTCATTCAAATATCCTCCAGATATTGTCGAACATTCCAGCATTAGTAGTTCTCTTGAAGGAATGCAAATCACTGCGAGAAGTATGCAGACTGTCTTTTTTTTATTACGTCTTATCTAAAACAGTATTGTATTATTTACTTATTAATATTAATTAGTATTTTATGCGATTTTTTTTTAGAATACCAATTATATCTTTGTGGTGGAGAATATGGTATTGGTTCAGGAATATTCAACAAAAATGTATGGCGTTATTCTTTGATATCTAAGAAATGGATTCTTGAGACAATGTAAATATCCTAACGATTAGATAAATAAGAACAAATAGATAAGTAATAGAATAAACAGAATGTTATATCTGTTAAAATTGTTTACAAATATTTTAGTATGCCAGTTGAAAGAAGAAATATGATTACTGTGTTTTTGAAAGACAAATTGCATCTGGTAGGAGGTGTGGGACGGTATCAACAAGAACTGAAGACTATTGATATCTACAATATTTATACAGGTAATTTTAATTGTGCAGCTATACGATGTGCATTTTATTAATATCATGTGCAAAGCATTCATGTAACGATTTACCTAAGTATGTACATATATAATTTAAATAGAAATTAGTATACATTTTTTTCATCGAGATCATGTCATAGGATTGCATCTCATCATTATTATTTATGAATTTAATGTTGATCCTTAAAATTATCTTTTATTGATTAAAAAACATTTTATTATATGAATTTTTGCTTTTGTATTTAAACAATGCATAGGTGTGTGCACATCATCACGTGCGAAGATACCTTATACGTTTACTAGTGTTCCTGATCATTTCATTTTTAATGATAAATTAATTATATGTGGTATATGTGATATATATGATGATATCTTGATGAATATTCTCTATATTTATCTCCCTGATGAGGATGTATGGAAAACAACATTATTGGAACGTATAAATTCAGATTTAGGATTATTAACTTTCATCCCATCTGATACACCGCCAATATTGACGCTTAAAACTATGTCGTGCTACATTGGTAAATATCATAATTTATGCACTGGGTTGGTTTCAAAGAATCGTAAAGTTTATATTAATATGTATCGCAGATGTTGTTGATCGAGATAAAATGGTTTTAAAAACTATTGCACAGACATGCAACGTGGAAGGTTGTAATAACATAATAAAAACCTTTTCTCGCTCAACCCTTGAAACGGAAAAAAAGAGTGATATGTACGAAGAAGATCATTTATATCCTTTATTGCCTGTAGAGTGCTATGGATGTTCCTTCCTTATAACTCCATTCTTTCACGAGTATTGCAAACCACCAGCTATACTATTATGTACGCGTACTGAGAGGCATAACTTATGGAAATTACACTTACATAGTATTCCTATTCGAGAGCCAAGAAAGTTCCGTTCCTTGTTCTTTACCAAGAAAAACCGATCTAGAAGATTTTTTAATCTACTTCATCCAGCTGACTTGCAAACCACGATTTTAGATCGTATTTGATTTGTTTAACGTAATTCATTAATTAAATATTTATTGACCCCGTATATTTATTGTAAGAGAGAAAAAGTAAGAGATAAATCTGAATAAAAATCGAGAAAATGCAGTATAATAAACGTTTGTAGAAACATTGCAGAAAACGAACAGTATTATGTCTACATATTTAGATAAATATCGCGTTGACTTAAGATTTATAAATCGTGATGTTCTATTGCTTGTCATATTATTTGAAAATTGTTATAAATACTAAATAAAATACTTAACAATTGTAATAGCTTTACGCCATAATATGCAAATCCAGTAAGCAAGAAATATCAAGAAACATTTTAACTACATTGCAGCAACGTTATAATAACGTTAATGCAATATAGTTAAAATGTTTCTTGACGTTTCTTGCTTACTGGGAATGCTTTCTGTATGTATGTATGTATGTAATTTGTATATACTCGTAAAATAAATGTTCTATGGTCTACATTTTTTCTTCTTTTTCATTGGACCACAACAGAGCTTGAATCGAACCTTTTAGGAAAGGTATATATATAGTGCTGTATGTACCGTGGCTTTCTCTTCGTTACAATTGCAATTTTTATGGGAAGAGAGTGTATGGCCCTTAATTCAATTTTTACTGTGCGAGACCAAGTTTTGTTTTGAAAGTAATTTAGCATTACTGTTTGATAGTTTTCTTACTTTATTAAGAAATGATCAGTATCGTATTCCTGAGTTGGGAATCTTCGTCACCACTAGCAAAAGCTTCTAAAAGACATTTTAAAAACGTTTAAAAGACATGTTAAGGACTTCAGACGTCCTATTTCTTTTATGCGTCTTTTAAACGTTTTTAAGACGTCTTTTAAAAGTTTTTACTAGCTGGGTTATTAAGATATACTTTACAAACACCCAACCATACTTTATACTAGCTGTATCATGATATTATAGCCTACAGAGGACAGTGACTCCGAAAAAAGGACAGTCTTTGAAATCGAACTCTAAAATTCGGCATCGATACATATGAGAGTTTATAGATTATTAGCCACGCATTTCGTATTTCATTAATACTAAATTGCGGAAGCGTTTTCCATCGAATTGTGGCACATTTCTCAAGCCGGTTCTACAATACGTCGCAAACGATGGCAACTGCTAGTTGAAAAGTGTTATTTTTGATTGCTGATTGCCAGTTACTGTCGCCAAAAAAGTTAAAAGTTTGCCAACTTTTTTTTGACAACCGCAATTGACAAACGCAACGTGAAAATAACACTTTTCAACTAACACTTGCCATGGTTTGTGACTTATTGTAGAACCGGCTTTAGACTAAAAAAACTGAGCTTTCGTAGAATTTTTTCTAACGTCGCGCGTCGGCTAACGCTCTTTTTTGTCTTGGGTGTCTCAACGAAAAAGCGCGTGAGAGCACCCGAGACAAAGCAGGACCCAGACAGCACCAGGATGTCCAAAATCGGGTAAGACGTCTTTTAGCAATTATTTCGTAAAATGTTTTAAAGATGTCTTTAATGTCCCGATTCTGGACATGCGTGCTATCTGGAGAGCTTGTCACCGACAGGATGAGCTGATCGGCTATCTGAGCGACCTGGAAATCAGCTGAGTAGACTTAGATAAAAGGGCCAAAACAGTTGAACGCCCGGTCAATGATCAGTTTTTCCTTTGATTTACTTATTATTACCGAGGCGCGAAGGTTCGGCAACATTCGAGAACTTTGCGAATGTAACCCCGTATCTTTTTGTGTTCACAGCGCACTCAATGTTATACAAAAGAGGACAATTAATCCTTGACCATCCCTTAAATTTTGCTAAATATTTAACATGTTACAATACACTAATACGAAGTACAGTAAATCTGTTTAATGCGCAATAATTTATAAAATATTAATGTTTAAATTATTTTTCCATATCAATGATATATCAACTATGTTAATGCAAAGAAGTTGCATTCATAAAATGAGTTTAGTGCAAATTAAAAATGTGCTTTAAATGTTTTTATGATAGATACTATTCAAAAACGTGTACACATTGTAACTATAATATTGATAGTGCACAAATTGAAAGTTCCTAGACCAAAAATTAATTGTCATGTGATGTATTTTCATTAGTTATGATGTACCAAGGTACGTGTAATGTCTCATCACAATTCTATTTCTTTTATTTATAATACATATAATAATTATAGTAAATAAAAGAACTTTATTCTGTTGAGTTAAACAATTACACACACGAAAATTTTTAAACATTAATATTTTATAAATTATGGCGCATTGAACATAGATACTGTATCTTGTATTACTTTCTTTATTTTAATAAATTTTAAAATAATTTTAAAAATAAAGTCCTTTTGTACAAATATTTTTTTAATAATTATAGATAGAAACTGATCTGGCTTACGCCGATTTAAACTCAAATCATGTAGAATTTTAAAAGTCGAACACAATAATATGTATTTTGAAAGAAAATGTAGCACACACACTTACAGAAAAAGGTTCAATTTTCATAAATTCTTACAATTAGCGAGGGCATTAATACCCTGAGATGTCAGACCACGTACGTGCAGTGAATTTATTACTTCCAAGTCACGACACAAATTTCCCAACTCTATTAGAACCGCGTCTTCGTATATAAAGTCTATATTTAACTGACGCATCCGTTGAATTTTTACAGTATTTTGCAAAAACGTTCAATTTTTATACGTGTATCACAAAAATTTAAACGTCCCAAACCATTCAGCTTCTCGAGGTACGAAAATTTTTCGTCATCTATGAGATGACAATGACTTAGATCTAATTCTAAGAAGAATTTGTATTAGATATATATGCACTTTACTTATAATCTTGATAATTATATACTATTATATGCATATATATATATACATATCTTTCAAATTTTTGCATATCTCTGAAATTTTAAGTAGGACACGATTGTCAACATATGAGCAGTAACTTAATCTTAAGTACGTTAAACGCCTGCCGCAATTACCAAAAAAGTTTGCGAAATCCTTAACATCAAAGTTGCTTGCTGTAAGATCTAACTATTGCAAATATTTACATCTATATAGGTGTAAAATAACAAAATATGTCGTGCATATATTTCTCAGATTCGATACATCGCATGTTCAAACGTGTATAAAGTAGAAGTCCGTGTTAAGTTATTTTGAAGCGCCTATTATTTATTTCATTCATGCGGCATAACGTTATCAAATCTAAATATTTAAATTTTTTTAGCAGTATTTCATCCTGTAAGGATAAAATATAATAAATATATAATATAAAATAAATACTTTAATACTCGAAGTGTACGAAATGACATTGCAATAAATATTATGATGGGAAATAGACTTCTTAGGATACTTTAGAGAAAACTCAGACAAACTGCGTGGTAGCTCCTTGGATTCATCCGAAGAAAGTTTTATACTCGAATCTTTACACAATTCGAATGACTTTTTAAGAAAATATGACGCGAGTTTTTCTCTCCGTTAGATTGCATACACAGTAAAAAATAAAATGTTAATCGTAACATTTTTCAAATGTCCCAGAAAGTCCACTCTAAATTTTATGTTAAAATAACTCATTTATCGTGTGTTACTTGTTGACAAATTAGAAATGTTAATTTATTGACACTATATTTTACATTTATATGTGTTCTTTTAACTTTAAGTATAATGTAAAAATAACTTGTACAAAATGTCGATATAACACTTTGCTTCGTCTGATTTAATGTAACTCTTACGAAATGTATATTATACATTTTATTTTGAGTTATATTAACACATATTTTAGTAAATTTGATTATTTTATATGTCAAAGTTTACGATTATTTGAAAATTTACTTTAAATTTTGTTTATGTTAAAATAACTTTAAGACGTGTTGATTTTTTGAAATAATTATGTTAAAAGAACTCAAAATAATATTCAATTTCTAAATGACATACATAAAGTGTTAGTTATCACGTTGACATAAATGTAACACATGAAAATGTTACGAAAATAATAACATAGCTGTTGTATGTTAATTTTACATTGAAATAATAGTCAAATCTTGGTAACACAATAAAATTTTAACATTTGGACGCACGATTTTTTACTGTGTATAAACAGAGATTACCTCCCTAGATATTTCTTTGTGCTTCAAATTACTCTTATAAGAAGTCTTCCTTCTTATATTGTTGCAAATAACATTGGAACAAATTAATTTTTATTATTAAAAAAATAAAAAAATTTTGTTTTACATCAGAGAATAATGTTAGGTATCTATTTTTAAAAACATTAATTTTTACTAAAATTAACTTCTTAACTTTTTTATTAACAAATTTTACTTTTATAATGAAATGTTATGTACATGGGCAATTCCACGTCAAACCGGACGACAAATAATAATCTTGTATTTTAAATTAGTCAAAACTTTTTTTACACAAAATATACATAAAATAAGAAGATACATATTTTTTTTGTTCGTTCAAAATTTTTTTTTTCAGAAATTATAAGCAATATAATTTTCGAAAAATAAAGAACACGTTTAGTTTAAAATTTAATATCTTTGGTTGTATTTATCGTAGAAAAATTTTCAAAAAAACATTTTAAAGCTAAAGAGACAATCTTTTTATAAAAATGTTTTAAATTACAAGAAGTTGCTAAATTTAATTGTTATAAGCAATTAAAATGTTTTATTCTTTAATTTATTCTAAAAATACTTATTTTTTATTTTATGGAAAAACAATGAATTCTATTTTTTATATATTTTTAATGACATGCGTCGGCGCCGCGCCGTGCTCGTGTCTCTGGCTCGACCAAGAAGCACAGCACGTCGAATTCTTCATAAATCTTTTGTAGGAAGAATGTACAGTATGAATGGCATATAATGTTGAATATAATCAATATACAGAGTGTGGAATTTTAAATGCTCCAGACAAATATCTTAAATAATATGGAACATACGAAAAAACATTTTAGAGTTGTAGGATATCAAGGGGGACTAATAATGGTAAAACCAATTTTCGAAAATACAGATGAATTAGATAATCGCACTAAATGCTCTGCGATGATCACATCAAGGTTGAGTATTTAAAAATTAAATGTACAAAAATTATATTGCAATTTTTTAGAGGAAATGGCAGACAAATTCTGCGAATATTCATAGTAGCTTTCATGAGTTTAGTTTCAGAACAGTATAAAAATAAATTTTACAACAAACTGTTAAATAAATAAATAATAAAAAAATAAATTTTACACAGAAAGCTGTTTTAGAAACTGTTATATTTTAGTAACTGCGGCTAGAAAAAGTATCACAGGAGATATATTTCTAAACGAAAGAGATATATACGGTTGCGGAAAAAAAATATCAAGAATTTACTGACGATGTTATTAACGTAGCTTTTGTAGTATTTCGCTCAACAATTATTTCAAACAAAAGAATGACACTATCGCCCGAAGAAATTTAAATATAAAAAAGAAAAGAAAAATAAAATAAAATTGTTTAAAAATAACAAAATTATAAATAAATATAAATATTTTGTTTTTATTAGATATTAACTTATTTTACAACATAATTTACCATGATAATTTTTACAAAGTAAGTTTGTAAGTACAAAAATTTAAAAAGTAAACGTAACTAAAAACTAAATTGATATGTCCTAAACTAGTAAACAAAAACTATTCAAATTATCAGTTTCTGTCGTATGTATAGACAGACACATGCGGATACCTCTCTTTCCATTGATTAACCAATTGATCGCTTATATCACAGTGCATAAAATAAAACTCTTGCAGGTTAAGACACTGTTCAAAAATAACGGAATGTTTATCAGGTGTATGAAATTTCACAACACGAAAATATAACTTTTTCAAGTTTTTGCACTGCGCTAGTAATTCCAACCAGTGATCAGTGAGGACAGTACATAAAAAATAAACTTCTTGCAAGTTTTGATAAGAGGAAAGTAATTTAAATAAACTATCATAAATAACTGAATAACCAAATCTGTAAAATCTGTAAAAATCATATAATATTATTACACAGTAATTAATTGCAAAGAGGAAATTAATGTAACTTTTTCAAGATGCACGCAACCTCAGTAAACAAATTTTAATAAAGAATACAATAATATATTTTAAAAGAAAATGTAGCACATATACTTACGGACCATCAAAGTGCACTTTTCGTAAATTCTTACAGTTAGCTAAAGCACTAATACTCTGAGGTGTAAGATGATGTGCTTTCAACTTTATTACTTCCAAGTCACGACACGAATTTCCCAACTCCATTGCAACTGCTTCTAATATAATATGCTTTGATGTCCAATCTACCTCACGGATCCGTTGATTTTTTTGCAGTATTTTACAAAGACGTTCAGTTCTTACACGTGTTTGAACAAGGTTTAAATATTCCAAACCTTCCAGATTCTCGAGGTACGAAAATCCTTTGTCGTCTATGAGTCGACAATAACTTAGATCCAATTCTAAGAAAAATTTGTATTAGTTATATGCAATTTACCCATAATCTTGATAATTATATACTATATGCATATATACATACCTTTCAAATTTTTGCATATCTCTGAAGTTTTAAGTAGAGCAAGATTTAAATTGTCATCGCAACGACATTGACTTAATCTTAAGTGCGTTAAATTTCTGCCACAATTATCAAGAAAGTTTACGAAATCATTAACATAAAAGTTGCTTCCTGTAAGATCTAATTGTTGCAAATTTTTACATTTAGGTATAAAGTAACAAAATATATCGTGCATATCTGTACGAAATACATTTCGAATGATCAAACGTGTATAAAGTTCATAGTCCTGTATTAAATTATTAAAGCGTTCATCTACATATTTCATGCGGCATAACGTCGTCAAATCCAAGTATTTTAATATTATTAGTAGTATTTCATCCTGCAAAGGTGAAATATAAAACTTTAATACTCGAAGTGACATTGCAATAAATATTATTATAAAAAATAGACTTCTTAAGATACTTTACAGGAAGCGCAGATAAACTGCAACGTGATAGGTCCGTGGATTTATTCAAAGAGAGTTTTATCCGCCTTGCATAATTTGAATGAATTTTTAATAAAACACGAGGCGAATATCTCCGTCCAAGAAGTTGCTCATAACAAGGAATTACCTCCTGGGATACCTTTTGCTTCAAATTACTCTTATAAGAAACCCTTCTTATATCGCTGCAAATATTATCGGAACAAACTTATTTTCATTATTAACAGAAAAAAATTAAATATTATCTAACGTCGACGATAATAATACCTTTTACGAATAATACCATATTCGAGAAAATTCTGTTGCAGATCAACTATATCCAAGTGTGCACTTTTTAAATCTGTTGTTAAATTATGAACATCGTCATGGCATGAAGAGTATACGCAATTAATTCTTTTTAACAGATTAGGTAAGTTCTCGTTAAGATTTCTAGAAAAGCTCAATTTTGATGTACTGATGAGCATCACAGCATCTAGCTTTGTGTAAGAGACAGGTGAACTGTTTTTAAATGTTAGTTTGAGCATTTTGGTTTTAAAGTTACACGAATACGATAACGGTGGAGAAAATAATCTTGATGTCGGCGGTACAAAATGAGACGATTTATCCCACAACTTAAACCACTTATTATTAGAATCTTGAGCCGAAATTTCAATTACGCTTCCAGGATGATGTATTTCGTAAATACAGACTCTGATTGGATATACAGCTTCATGAAACTCGACACCTTTAAAATATAAAATATATAATTATACTCTCTTCCTAATAAAAGCATATCTTTTCAGCAACAATATCTTCTTAGCAATATCTTATAAATCAAGTATTACATACAAATATAATTATTTTTGTTCGTCTTTGATTGCCAAATACAATTAGTCCCATCTTCATGTTCGTTTTGCCATGGAGATATTGAAATATCGACATCTCCATTGTATATCTGTATTAAGAAGTCAAAAAGTGTCAAATATCACAAACTCTTATAAGTTTGAATTGCGATTACTTTTTACGAGACAATAATGTATAATACCAGGAAATATACATACCAACAATTTTTCAAAAAACAATGGTAAATGAAATAGTTGTCCATAGTTTTGAAATTTGGGTGGTCCAATTATGTCAGGAGCAGTGTGATATATGCTAATATTCTCATGGTTCTTGGGAACAAATCTCTTCTTCGCAAATTGATAGATGAAGTCAACACTACCCTCTTCTCCTACGGATACTCTGCCGACATAAGGATATCGACTACAACTCTCGCAATAAAAAGGTGGATAATGGGATGTCATATTTTTTCTCTGAAAAAACACAAAAAATATGGAGAATAATAATCCTAGCTTTTATAGTATATGCTAAATATCATGTATTTATAATTATATTGGTAAGATTATATAATTAGATTAGATCATGTAATCTAAATTTATCCTGTTTCCATTCACATGGCTAGTACTGACATTATTATTACAATGTCTGCATAATGTACATTATTATTAAATATTAAATAATTAATTATTCTAAAGAAAATAAACATTTTTTTAATATAAAAAAATGGTTTTCCTAACGCGAGCGTGAAATGGGCCGCTTTTCGCGCTTGTTTTGAGTGAGCAAAACGATCCATTTCGCAATGATGACGTAAGCGTTGAAAAATGGAGCCATTTCTCAACTAGTGGAGAAATGAAATTGTAAAACAAGCGCGAAAAGCGGCCTGTTTCACGCTCTTGTTAGGAAAAATAGTATGAACAACTCGTGGGAAGAGTGGTTGAGCCCAAATGAGTGTGATGGTCGCACTCGTTTCGCTCGTGCGACCAACTTCACACTCATTCAAAATCGACCACTTTTTCCACTAGTTGTACAATATACTATTTTTATAAATCTGAGATATCGCGAGCTCTGTGTTCTCTACCACCACGCGTGGTACACGTGTACGAGCACAAAGAAAAAAACAAAAGAATTGCAAAATTTAAATTACTTAAATTCGACACAATCAGGTACGCTTAATTTCTAAGTAAGGTCCATTCCACAATATATAAGAGTTATAGATGTAAAACGTAAGCCACTGTAAGCAGTAAGCTATTGACTAATAAAATTTTTACAATTCAAGAATAATCGACTGTAGTTGGTCAATTTTTACCGCTTACGTCTTACCGCATACTCTTACAGCTATTGTAGAACGGGCTTAAGATTTTCCGAAATGTATTATATTTATCTTACTTAAAAAAAATGTATCTTCTATTATTCTATTTCATTTTCCGATACACGTTGTAGTGTGTTCCACCACGTGGGAGAAGAACATACGGCATACACGCATGCACGAGCACCAGAGAAAAAAAGTTTTAAAGTTTAAATTGCTTACATTCGGTATACTTACGCTTCTAAGTGACTAACATTTTCAACATGTATTTTTTATCTTATTTAATATATCTTTTATCTCATTGTTTGATACAGATTATAGCGATCTGACAATAAGTTGCACACAGAGAATAAAGAGAATTACCGAAAATTTAACTTAAAACTAAATTAAGAAATTAATCAGAATAACTAATTTCTATCGATTTTTATACTTACTGTTTATCAACAAGGCAGATTTAATTTTTTTCGTATAAAATGAAAAAAATTATGAGAGAAATAAAATGTTGGAACACGTGGTTAGTGAGCGCACACCACTTCTGTGTAGGTCCACATCTATCCTATACTGCCAACTCTCACAATATACATGGTCCTGAAAAGTGTTACATTCAAACCCTAATAGGATTCAGGTAAATTACTGGAAAGCAAAAAAAACTAGCTAGTGGGTGGGGGTGTGGAAGGGCGCAAGCAGATAGGTACATGTAGTGTTTTCTACTGGGAGAATTACCCAGACAACACACATAACACTAAAAGATAACGAAAACGGTGTCTTTCATAAGTTATTTTTTTGACACAGCTAAAAGAATACGTGAAAGACATCTTTTAATCTTATTGACAAAATTATCATAAAAAAGATACCGTTTCGTTATCTTTTATGTCTTTCAATAAAAACAAAAGATTTAATAAAAACATAATGTTAAAAACATTTTTCCGACCAATCAAAATTAGTGATTATTTTGTATTATTATATTATATTTATATTAAACATTAAAATGTCGGTGAAAAAAGTAAAAACTGTTTTATTCAGTTTTATTGTGTTGCAAAATAATCCGTAGACCGTTAATAATTACTAGCTGCGTTCAGCAGATAAAATTGCTTTGCAACTGTTGTAAAATTTAGGAATCCGATTGGGGAGTGTTTTTAATTTCGGCCGAAGCTAAGAGCATCAATCAAATTTACGAATTTTACATCCGTTGTAAAACAACTTGTTATGCTGAACGGAACCAGTGACCATTGTGACCATGTCAGAAGCGAGAAATGATACACTGAGAATTATTGCGTGTCATTTTTAAATAATTATAAGATATATGAGTGAAAAAAATATTTCTGATCGCTTATATTTTATTTTATCCAGAGATGAATATTAAAGTAATACTATAAATAAATACACGCACTACCGAGTATTTGGCTGATTTGTCATATTACACACACACATACGATGTATGTTGATCCATATTTGAAAGTTTTCACAAAATAAGATATTTTGAAGTATGGATCAGTGCGCATTTAAAGAATTAAAAGATATTATTTAACATGTTTATTTTAAAATGCTATTTTGTTTTACAAAATTTATAATTTAATTACTAATATAATATAAGCAAATTATTTCTGCTAAATGTATTTCCTGTATTGCTTGTCCCATCAGTTAAATAAATTACCAATGCCATGCAAATAACAAAATGATAATCGTTTTTGTTGTTTTGATTTAGAAACTAATGTTTTCATTTGCTTCTCATTCCCGTTGCATAATATCAAATTAATTATGTTACTTACATTATAAAATTAACAAGTGTGCGTAATAATGTTATAAATACATTTGACAAATTTAGCAAAGAAAAATCCTTTGTAATGTAAATTGAAAGTAGGACGAGGATGGAAAGGACAAGAATATAAAGGAAGAGGATGGAGAGGAAGAGGATGGAGAGAGGGATGGAAAGGAAGAGAATGATAAAATATGGGGCGCACCGATTCGGTTTTCATTTTTAATTATTGTGTGAACCCAAATTTAAAAAAAAATAAAAACATATTTATGTATAATATTTTATTGTATACATTTTAAAGTAAAATCAAAGACAGAGAGAGAGAGAGAGAGAGAGAGAGAGAGAGAGAGAGAGAGAGGGGGAGGGTGGGAGAGGGAGAAAGAGAAAGAAAAGGAGAGAGCGAGGGAGAGAGAGAGTGGGGGCAAGACAATTATCTTTCTTTAACAAATCATAATATAGATCGAGAATAAATTTGTTAATTATTGTATTTATTTAAATTTAATAAAGAATTATGTTACATTGAGACAAAAAAGAACATTTAAATGTATATAAATTAATAATAGACAGAAGCAAAGAATAAAAAATGTAAAAAAATTTTAGCATTAAGGTACTGTAAACCTAGAAACATTGAAAAAGACTTTTAAAAACTTATACGTATGGAGCACAGCATTGCATTGTACGATTACGAAATGTGGCGGAAGCGGATGGAAAAAGATTCGAAACGTTCAAAATGTGGTGTTATAGGCGCATGATGAGAATACCATGAACTGATAGGGTTAACAAAATGAAATATTAGAAAGAATTTAAAAAAAAAGAAATATATATCAAAACAATAAAAAGTAGAAGTGATAAGGTGGTAGGATGCTTGCTGAAACACGAAATTCGCGACATATGGGAGACAAAGATAGGAATAAGAAAAGGTAAAGGTGGACACAGATTAGATTATTGTTCATAACTAGTCAAAAACGATGTTCTACTTCCAGAGAATTGTTATAGATTGAGGACTGGAAAAAAAGCTCGTCCAACCTGCCTTCGGATTGAGGATTTGATGTTGTTGATGAGTAAAGGCGTGTTAACGCCTAACTAAAATGCGTGATTACGCACTTGTCATCGTTATTGTAGTTATCCATCGAGTTCTTGGCAAAACTTGTGACGCCAAAGGATAACAGTCTCTTCACAAATTCAGCGTCTTTGTTTACATCAAGCAGATAGGTCGCGAGATGTTCGTTCAGTTTGTCCGCTGAATAAAATGCACAGAAAATATATTAACAAAGAGCAATATGAAATGAAGAATAATTAAAAGCAAAATTTATTTTTTTTTTATATTTTCCTCTTTTCTTTGTTTTTTCCGATTTTAACGTTAAGAAAATCTTTTATTTTTATCTCACAACACTTATTTCAACTTTATTTTGTTTATAGATTTTTGAAATATTTATTTCAATTATTCTTGAAGTCCGTTTTCTTTTTTATATAAAGTATTATTTCTGTATTGTTTTTTTTTAACTGTAGAAGCAAGAGATCATTCCACGAAGTCTTTTTAGCGTTAATCTTTAATAATATCTATTCTAACGTAGTTATATACCTAGCGGTTTTTTAACCATAATGCGGTAGGGCGGCAAAGTTCCAAAATAGTCGAGAATAAGAAGATTGTTTATACTACTCGAGTAGGCACTGTTCTTTTGGCATCTAATTACCGGTGATTCCAGAACTCCCACTTTCGCCTGACGACTTAGGACGCTTTTCAATACATCCAACTGCGTTCTAACATCTAATAATCGGAAAAGTAATTACGGAAAGTAATAATCGGAAAAATTCAAATCATTATATCTACTATCCAAAAATATATATACTCATCGAGAAAATTCAAGGCAAAGGAACATTAACATTTTCGCTTAACAATATTTCCTTTACTATTGTCATTTCTTTAATTTGTCATTTTTTTCTTTATATTTCTGGTGCAGCCACAGTGTGAATCATAATAAGAACAGACATACAACTAATATATGTATAATTAATAATCATATAGATAAAATATTTTAAACCTACCAAGTATATTGCCAGATTTAAGGTTTACGTCTTTCAAACGTAAATGATCAAAGAGCAAATCGCGGACGCTAAATGGGTGGGACTCAATTTGTGCACTCGGAATGGCCCACTTGTATTGTTGCAAATCCGTGATACTCTGCGGTGATTGCTAATTATGTGAAAATTATGTTTGAGAAAATTTAGATCTTATAATTATTGTTGTTAATTAAATGCAAATCAATTATTATATAATATATATCATATATTATATAATATATATTATATTTTTAAACAATTAAATCGTGTAGATTTAATTCCGAGTAGGGAAAGGTATTAATGTTTCCAAGATAGCTGTGTTTCAAGTCCGACAAATTTGCGGCGCGCAGTCTATTAAGTTGGAATATATGTATATGTACAGTATGTACATTACAATTCGTTAATTCTTTACGTAAGTATAGAATATATGAACACCAACACCTTGTTACGGTTCCATGCTCTATCTTTCTTTGATTAATTGATTTCTAATCTTGTGAGCCTATACTATTATATATATCATATATTATTTAATAATTTAACTATAAACTAGAAAGAACTAGAGAAATTATTAAGGATGCTAAATATATTTACGTGATTATGTAAATTTATGCGTGAAGTACAATCCGATGTGGTAACTATATCGACGTACACGTTTGCCGAATTGGTCTTATTTAGAGGATGATCGAAAACAAAACTTGCGGGTAAGAGCACACCATCCTTCCAGGTTTCGGACGCTGGCAGTACAACTGCGAAAATAAATTAATTAAATAATTAATTTATTTAAATTAAATTAAATAAATAAAAATAATAAAAATTAAATAAATAATTAATTAAAAGGTAATATTCTATCTTTTTTTAGTACTATTTTATATCCTGTTAATAGGATGATGTACTGTGCTGTTTTCTCCGTCGTGAGTGTAAACAATTATGGCAGTAATTGCAAATTTTTCATCTGCCTTGAAATAAGAGGTTATTATAATAAAACAAACGAAGGTGCTTAAGGATAAAATAATATCAAATTGACCTTCAGATGTCTTTATAACATTTTTTGCTTGTTTATATGCGAGGATATATGTATAGCCGTATTCATAGAGTTCTTTCTTGGAATAAGGTTTCCTTATTGTTCCTCATTCTACATTTCATAAATCTTAAGGTTCCTTGATTGATCAAAGAAAGTTTATGAAATGTAAAATAAGGAACAAAGATTCCTTATTCCAAGGAAGGACTATGAAAACGGCTAATAGTGAAATCTTTTTCGAGGATTTGATTTACGATGCATACGCGGAGAACGCTATCAGCGCTATTGCATCATTTGTCTTCATTGCTCATTCTATCTTTATCTCATTAGATGTAAAACAAGGATAGAATGACGCAATAGCGCTAATAGCGCGCTCCGCGAACGCAGTCTTAGACGTACCTATGTCAATGTTTTCTCCGACAAATAAGCGGTTTCCTTCACACTTGTGCAATAACAAAACTTGCCTCTTCGTGAAAAATTGGATCATTTCTGCGAACACCTCGAAGAGTCCGACCGGCAGTGTTGACGCTATATGATGCGTTGCGAGGACCAAATAAGATTTCTCGAAATCCGGCATTGATTTAGGCAGCTGCGTTTCACTTTTAATCTTTTTTCGAATGACTTCCCTCTTCATTAAACATTCAAGATTTTAATTAACTATTGCCGTACTTTAATTTAATTTGTAAATAAAATTTGTTTAAAAAGTTTAATTCAATTTATTCTCGAAAGGAAAATTGAAGTTTGTCAGAATATATACAGGATAAAAATGTTACTAAATTATATAAACAAAAAGTTGCGCCAAATTAGCCATTATTGGCTAATGACTTAATCTTTATGGGTCATTTTAGATTTTAGACCCATTACAAAATTTAACTAACTTCTAATTAAAAAATAAATTCTTTTTTATCCTCAATATTTATTGATTTTATTCCTGTAACGTAATATAGTTTACTTCCAAAAGTTAACTTTAAAAAAATTTAAATATACTTGTAAATATCCTTACAAGAGTTTATCCCCCTCAAAATTGCACATTGTAGGTATTGTAGTACACTTGGCTTAATTTAATTTTAGCGTAAAGTCAGTTTCAACAATGGCTGTGTTTCAAAATTCATTGCCAGCGCTGAAAATATGTAGCATTACGTTACATGCACTATTATAGATTTCCAGCATTAGCAGTATTTTGAAACATAGCCAATTTATGAGTTCGTTCCACTTGGCAACGCTCATGAGCATCATTCGTATTTGTTTAACACTTGACAAGCAACAAAGATAAAATGATTTTAAGAGCATTGCAAGCGCCAAGTGGAACATACCTTATGAAGGTTTTTACAATGATTTATGATGATTTTATTTCCTCAAAAGAACATCAAGAATGCAAAGTTTTATCCGACAATCGCTGAAAATATTTAAAGGTTTCGAAAAAGTTTGATTTTATAGAATTAAGTTCTTTAAATTTATTTAGCTTCAAAGCTGATTTTTTAAATCTAAATTTATATTTTAAAAATTCAGATTTTTAAATTATATTTTTGCATATAAATTATTGAAATCTAACTAATTTATATTTTTATTTTTTTTTGTCATTTACTCCAATTTATTTAATCACATCTTTAACAGCATAGTTTAAAAAGAACAACTTACACGTATTTCGCTCATTACGAACGTCATTTCCTCGTCTGCACTGCCAGGTTCCTTATAAAACCTATCTTCAGAATTGTCATCTTCAGAATAGTCATCCTCAGAATTATTATCTTCAGAATTGTTATTCTCAGCATTGCCAGCCTGTAAATTGTTATCCTCAATATTATTGTTCTCAGGATTGTTGTCCTCAGGATGGTTGTCCTCAGGATTGTTGTCCTCAGGATTGTTGTTCTCAAAATTGTCATCCTCACAATTGTTATTTTCAAAATTATTATGCTCAGAGTTAGAAGAGGTCGACATTTTAGACGTAGCGTTGTGCGTTTGACGTGTTTCTACAACTTCAAGATCATCAATTTTTATGGGTACAGAGATTTGGTACGCAGTACTGCACGTTTGGCGTACTTCTGGAATTTCAGGCTCCTCACTTTTGTTGGAAGTGGAGGTCTCGGGTACAGTCTTGGTCACTTGGTTTTTTTCAGGAACTTCAGGAATGTCAGATTTGTTGAAGGCGAACATTTCGGATGTAATCTTGGGCGTTTGGGATACTTTTGGAACTTTTAGTACTTCAGAAGCCTCAAGTTCGATGGGGGTGGATTTTTCGGATGTAGTCTTGGGTATTTGGCATATTTTCTTAGCTTCAGAATCCTCAGATTTGCCGGAGAGGCAAAATTTAGCCACAATCTTGGGTAGTGGGAGTAGGTCTTTATCATCAAGGCTTTCTGGTTTGTTGGAGGTAGAGGTTTTAGGCGTAATCTCGACACTTGACGAAGTATCTATTTCATGCGCTCCTTCTACTTTCTCTGCCATCTCTTTCATATATTCCATCGGTTTCTCGCTCGGAGTTTGCTCCTTCTTTCCCGAGCAATGTTCCTTCGATTCGTATATGGTCTCCTTTGATTTTTCGGCTGATTTGACGACCGCGACTTTTGCAGCAGTCGACTTTTCGCTCATTTTCGTAAATACTAAAAAGTACAATACAACGCCGATATTAAAATCCTAAAAACAAAAGAACGGTGCAAGAGATAACGCTAGACCTGGAGGATATGTACCTCAGGGGCTCGATTCTTGAATTAATTCGCAAGAGAAACGTTGTAAGTTGATTAGTTAAGGGGATCCTATAGTGGAGGCCGAACTTCCTCGACGTCGGTAATATCAACATTTCTAATCCTGTTTTCTATGTTATATATCTATATCTGTCCTTGTCTAACAAAAGGCATCTGTCTTTGTTCGATTGCTGCGCCATCTCTTGCTACACGCAATACTGCTCTTCCATGTCATCATTGCTAGTGCACGTTTGCAATAATCATTTTTCACAGATAACTTTTTTGTTCAGAGTCTAAACCTAATTCTGACAACGGTATCGTATTTTTAGATGTAGTCCGCTGGCCACGCCACAGTTTTTTGTAACAATACATTGTAGAATTTTTATATAAAGCGAATGTTTTCGCAAGTTGACGCATTGTTATATGCAGTTCCTAAAATTATTTTTATTCTTGGTATAAAATTGCGTGGTGTGGCCTTTATTTCCGAATATGCTTCAACTTTGGAGAAGGATTTTTCAATCCGTAAAGCCAAAAAAAAGATATCTGTGCAAAACAAATGTCGGTATTACAGACCCGGCTATAGGATCCCCTTAAAAGCTATATGCACAATAGCCTAGACTTGCAATTTTTATGCATACGTTTCTCTTGCAAATAAATTCAAGAATCAAACCCCTGCAGGTAGCACATTATATTATAGTGTCATATACGTTTCTTGAACGTATACGTAATTAGTTAATATTAAATAATATTGCACGCTTATAGGGAAGCTTCTAGAACATTCTCACGCATCGCCTGTCTCAAAGACGTCATACATGTTCAAAAGACGTGAAAAGTGTAAGAAATTTTAAATTTCTTTATCATTATATAAATAAACGTTTCTATAATAATTTCGTAAACGTTATTTTATCGGAAAAGAAACGTTCTATCGAACGCTTTTCGAATGGACATTTTTACTCGCATGAAAATCGTTTCTAGAAATCAATTATAAAACGTTTCGGAAAACCGTTTATAAAACATTTTTGAAACATGTGTCTACTACTTGAGTACGTTTCAAATGGATCGCAAAGCACAAACTTTCGATCGATAGAAAGGTCGATTTTCGATTCTTCTATCGTGATGTGTGCGCGTGTGTGTGCGTCTGTGTACGTGTCGGTCGCGTTGCAACCACGTGTACCAGGGGAATAATGATACTGTTTCACTGTAAAAGCAATATTATCGATCTTGAGTTAAGTCGCAATAAATATAAAAATTTCATTTTCCTTTTTTTCCCCTCTTAACAGTATTCTTACTTCTCTTACAATACAGCTTAACACGCGTTTAATAACATGTGATGCTTCCGAAGTGTCCGAGTTTACACGGTACTGAAGGTTAAAGTGAAAAAATTTAATTTGAATTTTGTTTACGAAGATGCTTGCGAAATATATTGTTCATGTATATATAGGCATAAATGGTTGAACATATGTATAATTTATAAATTACATACTAAAGTAACCTGAAAATGCGCACCTGTATTCTGGAACTGTTCCGATTGTATTCCGATCACGGTCTGTAGCAGTCTGTAGAAGACTGTGATTCTACAGTCAGAATTTTTTAGTTGTTTCCTAGATCTTTTTTTTAGGGAAAACCGATTCTAGGGAAAACCGAATAATTCCGAAATCCATTCCAAACAGTTTCATATGCCCTAGGATGATTTTTACACCCTATATAGTGTCGAAAAAAATGAAACTCCCGTCATGGTAATTTTTTTCGACTGTCCATACCTACCTTTCAGTTGTAGGTTCCAAGATCCAATCCGCATAATAGGAAAACTTTAGGACCTGTGTACATTCATGGGGTGTACCGACCTTGCTAGGGTATAGAACTCACTCCAGGTGACCGTTTACGTTATAACAATTAATAAAGTATGATAGGATTTTATATTATAAATTTGATTATGAGTTCTAATGAGGTTGAGTACGTATAATACATTTATATATATATATATAAATGTATATAAATATATATAAATATATAAATAAATATATATATATATATATATATATATATATTTAATATTATATATATATATATTAATTTATAGGTTATAAATAATTAAATTAATTAAAGTAGGTTATAATTAATCATAACCTAACTCAATTAATTTAAATATTTGTAACCTAATTTAATTAATGATGCAAACACGCTGTCATTCCCCGCCTCCACGCCGATGACGTCATCCCCCTACCACGAACTGGTCTAGAACTCCCATAGTATACTTACTATCATCTTTAAAGTAACGAAGTCTTAGAATTAAACGATTTAACGACATATCACACTCCGAGAATAATACTGTCACAACTAAAAAAAATTCACAGTTTTCAGAAGAGAGGAAAAACAAAATTCAATTTTTTTTAATTGTGAGATAAAAGTAACGCAATTACAATTTTGATATTTTGTTATAATAAAATTTATACTGTTTCTTGAAAAGATCTGTGATCCACTTGTCAATTTATTTATAACATTTATATCATACATCCAAGAAACCGCAACATAATCGGTTTAAAGAGGTTCAAGTGCTACAAAAAAGTAGCCAGTTTCATGAAATTTTAATATGTTGTTCTAGAATGCAAAATAGAATTATGTGAATTTTTTGGTAATTTTTTACGGTCATGTTTTGAAAAAAATTTACTCTGAAAATTGTACTTTTTAGCATAGGTTCTTATGTGAAATGACATATTGCACACCTTCAGAATGAAATAATGCAAGAAGAAATGCAAATGATAAGAAAAGAAAAATATGCACATGTAACTTAATAATTTACAAATAAATGAGTGAAAGAAAGGGGAAGGTTACCGCACATTTCGTAGAAAAATTAATTATTAAAGCATAAATTGCTTGATTTTTTGTCTGCTAGAAATGAACGCAAACAAATAATGGCAATAGCGCAAATGAGTAGTAAAGGTTATACGGCAGGGCATTTGAATAGAAGTTGCGATATCCCAGGTAAAACACGAAAGTCACAATAAGGTCAAAAGACGTCAAAATAATAATAATGATAGTATTTTTTTTTCACTCACGAACTTTTTTTTCCATTTGTATTGTTTATCAGTCATCATTTTTAATTAAGGTTAATTAACGCTCGACAGAAGCAGCACGCACTATGCACGCGGCGAGCAATCGGGACAATGTCAATTCACTCCCACTACTTTAAACGCTAGTGTGCTGTTGCCAAATTGTCCTTAAAACCGTCCTTAAAAACGTCCCACTACTCCCCCCGATGAAGCACCCGAACCTCCTTAAAAGAATAACGACACTCCGATCCGCCCTGTGCAATAGATTTTGTATATATAGATTTGTGACAATATTATAGGATGTAAGTAAAGGTAACATCTTAGGCATAGCTCATTATGGGCTTAAATAAAAAATAAAATTTTTTTAAGTTGCAGTGACAGTATTCTTCTCGGGATGCAACATATTCAGGGACAGTTCCTCGTCTTTATAAAACTATGAGGCCTTAACTGTTTTTCCGATGATTATTGAATCCATCCGATCCTTCTCTTTACACGTTACGTTCTTACATTATTTCCTCCGTCTCAAATTCTCTTATAGCTGGTATTTATAGTCGGAACTCATCTTTAAGACCGTCTTAAGTACAATCTTAAGATGTTATAAACCAATCCCAGAGCCGTATTAGCATCTTAAGACATCATTTAAGGGGTAACGCCACTCTAGAGTCCCAAAAAAAGCCAATTTTTGATAATTTTTTTCAGAAATACAATAATCATAAATAAAAATCGGTTTGATTCTATTTATTATCTATATATTAAAGTATAAAAATTTTTTTATTAATTATTTATTGCCAAAGTGGCGGCACCAGAGCCATTGCTCCAAAGTGCCTTTTTGCGGAAGGCGTCCAACGGGCGGAATCAAAGCTCCTATAATTTCTGAGCTGGAACAAAAATTCAAAGATTTTTGAAAAATATATTAGTTTTTCTATAGAAGTACCTAGGGGAATTGCGAAATATCATTTTTTGTAAGAATGGTGCATGTTGGAAGAAAGTGCTTCATTTTTCGTTAAAAAATGTCGCACAAAATTGTTTATAAAAAAAATTTTGTTCAACTTATCGCAAAATCCCTAGGTACTTCTAAAGATAATGTTATTGTAAAGTTTCACTCAAAATTTCAAGTCAATCGGATAAAAGGTGTTCGAGTTCTGATTCCGCCCGACTTTAAAAAAGCAATTTCGAGAAAAACGCGTTTAAAGTTTCAGTTTCACCATTCATAGATGTGAACGCGGCGGCAGACGGATTACGAAAAAGGAATAATAGAGATTTTCCCGAGCTTTGAAACCAAGTGTACATACCTTATTTCTAAGACCTTAAAGCATTGTTTAACCAAAAAAAAAATCGATTTTTTGAAAATTCTAGAGTGGCTTTACCCCTTAAGTAGGGATCCTCTAGTGAGGGATGGGATACCGAGACTGCAGGATTGGTCGTCCGTCATTAATGGGACATTTCCGCTTTGAGTATATTTTAGTAAAAATAATGTAGGGGAGAGTTGGCAATTACCGAGCCCCTAAGAACCGAAGCGTATATCTAAGCTCAGAAATGCTTCAAAAAAACAAACTGTGCAGTTTTAGATAGGTCATTTATTTGGCTATCCATATATCATAGCAATAATCTTGAAAGTTAAACACAAACTGAAATATTAATAATTTTTCAAAAAGTGAGAAAACGCGGTATTATATCAAACTGGTCTGATACTATCGTGACCAGGTCTGATAAAATCGTGCCCAGTTTAATAAAACTGTACCTATAAAAATTACTCTGGCTTCAGTTCGTGACATGAAATAGAACACAATAACAAAATGTTTTTTTTATATTTATGCATTAATATCGTCTAGTAGGTACCTACATATAAAAATAAGTAAATGCGTTAACAAATAACGATCATTATAAATTCAAATCAAAACTTAAGCAACGATCTTTTCTGTAAGCACCTTACATTGTAAACTAAACAGTTTTGGCAACTTTTAACACACAGTTATCGTTATACCTATGAGTATTATACCTTGGGCGCGAAATTATCAAACTCAATCATTTCACTTTACAACATTAAAATATAGGAAAGAAACGCGTGTGTTTCTAAAATCACTTTGCAACTAATTTTATAGTGTTTTAGCCTATCAAATCCGTCAAATTTATTTCTCTAATGAAAATATTATGTTACTCACCACTTATCAAAACTACCAGCAAAATTGCAACGAGCAAGCAGAGAAGCTTCCAGAGCGCACTGTGTTTACATGGACGACTGGAACGCATTGACGGCGCATGCGAGTTGGGTATTTCGTGTTACTCTATGATATTAACATTATTGTAGGCGCGTAATACAAATAGTTATTGAGATAAACAATGGCGCGGAATTGTCAACCGCGCGGTAATTGCCAATTCTCCCCTATAGTATATGTCAATTTATGACATATTACCACAAGTATAACTATACTGTGTTATTATAACTGATAAAATGAGCAAAAGAAAAAATAAAAGTGTAAGTATTGTACTTAATAAATCCAATTTTATTAAAATTGAACGTAATTTTATATATTATCATTTAATACTGAAATGAGAATATATATAGAGAATACATAACCTCAACTATAAATCATCAAATTAACTAATAATATTGATAAATATAAATTATTTAGAAAATGCGATATTGTGAAACTGTGAATTGTCACAATTCAAGTCAGAAAGGCTTCAAAATGTGCCATTAAGGGGTCATATACGTTTCTCGGTCCTGAAAAGGGCCGTGGTTGAGGGATTGCTAGAAAATTACTAGACCGATTAAGTTGAATCTTTTTTTATTGTAAAGAGTGTTTTTTTGCAGGAAAGAAAACATACACTAAGAAAAAGAATACAAAAAATGTAGCGGCTTCTCGTTTTTCTCGAAACACGATTTTTCAAAACGGTGGGCATGATAACTGTTTCAGCATTCGTCCGATTAACTTTATTTTTTTATACATATTCCTAATGAGATACTTTATCGTGTCACGAGAGGGATTTTTCGAAAAAAAAAAATTACAGAAATGGTCACACTTTCAAAAAGTTGTGATTTTTTCTGAAAAAGTCGTTACATTTTTTAATATTATTAAAACATGATTGAACTTATCAATAAAAGCCCCCGTGACACGATAAAGAATCTCATTAGAAATATGTATTAAAAAAATGAAGTTAATCGGACGAATGCTGAGGCAGTTATCATGTCCACCGTTTTGAAAAGTGGTGTTTTGAGAAAAACGAGAAGCCGCTACATTTTTTGTATTTTGTTTTCTTAGTGTATGTTTTCTTTCTTGCAAAAGACACTCTTTACAATAAAAAAAGATTCAACTTAATCGGTTTAATAGTTTTCTAGCAATCCCTCATAATTATTGTACCACTTTTCAGGGCCGAAAAACGTATATGACCCCTTAATTTATATAAAAATCCTTAATAAAAAAATTACTTATTGCATTATTTACTGGATTTAATAACTTTTGTGATAAATTTATCAATAATAATTTACTTTAATGTAATTGAAATAATTCCTCAATTAGAATTGAATTTATGTAGACATATTTTCGATACAGTTATTTTGATTTATTAAAAAATGGCGCGTAATGCCTGCCGTCACTTTCCGCTATCCCATTAATGGCGGCTTTCCCATCCTTCACTGGAGGATTCCTACACTTAAGACGGTCATGCGACGCAACTCTATCTGTATTCGCCTTTCGTCCAAAGCGTGAAGGCTTCCAGCTACCCAGTCTAATAATCCTCGCTTATTTATTTTTGTGTACGTCAACTCACTACATCGCAACTTAATCGACTCCTATTTAACGCTATTCTAAATCTTACAATTGTTTTTACGTTTACATCAGCGAGCATATTTAAATGCATATTTATCTAATTGATAACACGTGCGGTTTAGACAATGGAAAGTAACAGCGAAGAGGGAAACAGCGGAAAACCACGCGAAACAGTGACGTTGGTTCTCAAAGAGGAGCGATTCGAAGTTGAGAAGCAAAAATTGATCGACAAGAGTCAGTACTTTGCTGCGCTTTTGTCCGCAAACTTTATAGAATATGGACAGACAGAACACATTGTCAACTATGATATTTCCTCGATTTTGCTGCAGGTTAGAACATTCTAATTCTTGGCTGTATTTACAGAAAAAAGTCGCTTTTAAGCGTACAAAACATTGATTTTTTGTGTGTGTGTAAGTAATTTGTTATATCAAAATACTTAATATAAAACGCAAGTTTTTAATAAACAAATGTATATATTAAAATTGTATCGGATCTTATATAGGCAAAAATAATCTCATTGTGCAACCAAAATAGATACATAATTTTATAGGATTTTATTGGTTGGACTCATGACAAAATTGCATTTACATCTGCAACAAGTTATGATTTTGAAGAGCTTGATCGTCTCTTGAGTCTATTGGAATTAGGCGTTCTATTTGCAGCAGATAAATTAATAGAAGATATAACCGACAAGCTTGAGAGACACTTTATGTTACCAATATATGCGATTAAAATTTGGTTACTGGCACAAAAATTAAATATTAATGTGCTACGAGATCTTTCTTTGGCTGTTTGCTTAGATCGTTTCGATGAACTGCCACTCGATTCAATTTATGAGTTGTCGAAAGAGCATTTTATGAAGTTAATTGGAAACATCAATTTAAGAGCTACAGAATCTCATTTGCTTGATATTACACGCGAGTGGATGAACCATCATGATGTGAGTATATTATGTTCAAAAATAACATTTAGAATAATTTAATTTTAGAAAAAATACAGCAATTATAAATCTTTATTTCTAATATATTTTGAATAAAATGGAGATTTCTAATTTTAATACATATATTCCCCATATTTATTTTGTTTTTTTTCTATTTATATATTCTACTATACATTAATGCATTACAATTCTATGAATGTAAAATTTCTTTTTTTGCAGGATTTTACAATTCCTTTAGATATCTTGAAGAAGAAAAAACAAAAAATTTTACAGAGCATTATATCTTGTGAAGATAATAATGGTGAACAATATATTCACTGCTGGGATGGTAACAATTTTTTTGAGTTAACTTCATTCGAATATCCTCCAGATATCGTCGAACATGCCAGCACTAGTAGTTCTCTTGAAGGAATGCAAATCACTGCGAGAAGTATGTAGACTGTCTTTTTTTTATTACGTTGTATCTAAAACAGTATTGTATTATTTACTTATTAATATTAATTAGTATTTTATACGATTTTTTTAAGGATACCAATTATATCTTTGTGGTGGAGAATACGGTATTGGTTCAGGAATATTCAACAAAAATGTATGGCGTTATTCTTTGATATCTAAGAAATGGATTCTTGAGACAGTGTAAATATCCTAATTTTTAGATAAATAAGAATAAATAGATAAGTAATAGAATAAACAGAATGTTATATTTATTAAAATTGTTTACAAATATTTTAGTATGCCAGTTGAGAGAAGAGATATGATTACTGTGTTTTTGAAAGACAAATTGCATCTTGTAGGAGGTTTGGGACGGGATCAACAACTACTGAAGACTATTGATATCTACGATACTTATACAGGTGATTTTAACTGTGCAGCTATCACAATGTGCACATTTCGTTAATATTATGTGCAAAGTATATATTAAACGATTTATCTATATACATAGGGTTGTGTGGGATGATGTGCAACAAGGGGTGATGTGCAACGTTTCCGATTCCAGGTCTGCATGTCGACATTTGACAGAATCGCATACTGCCATGTGTTTGTGTCGACAGTACCTTGTTTTAGATAAATAACTCGCTAGATAGTACGCCCCTGGTTTGCTGTACGAAAAGCGAGTTAAATTTCTCGAGCTGAAAGTTTTTTTTGCTTTTCACATTCATAGTGATTTCGTGAATTGGTTTTAGTCATCTTATAGGTAAATATTTTTATATTGTTAGTTTTTCAAGTGCTTTTGATAATCCAAAGCGATTTTGTGATTTCCTTACATTCATACATGTGTTGGTGTCACGCCCGCCAGTCCGTGCAAAATAGCGTGTTTGGGGTGATGTGCAACACTGTGTCGACTTGCAAGATCGCAACTATTTTACTTGTGACAACTGCGATTCAGATGATAAAAAATAAAGTTTTTTGCGTTTTTCCTTTCATTATATTAATTTTTAAGCGATAAATAAATAAGAAATCAAATAAAAAATGATTTTTTTTGTGAAATTTCCATTTGTCAGAGGTCAATTACGACACAGTGAAATTTTTTGTTTACCAGATTTCCATTTATTTGTATTTAAGAAGCCCGTTAAGTCGATTGATGTCGATATTCATGCATTTTTACCTTAATTTTACTTGTGTTGCACATCACCCTAAGAAAATTTGAAAATGCTAAAACAGACATTTTTTTGAAATCTCGAAAAATTTTTAGAAAAAATTTAAAATTTTGAAAATCTAATCACGCAGAATTTTAGTATTTTCCTTCCTCTACATTACACAGCATTCAAGAATTTGATTTTTGAATATGTTTTCTGACCAACGAAAAAAAGTGTTGCACATCACCCCACACAACCCTACATAATTTAAGTAGAAATTAGTATATATTTTTCATAGAGATTATGTCATAGGATTGCTTTTCATTATTATTATTTATGAATTTAATATGTTGATCTTTAAACTTATCTTTTATTAATAAAAGACATTTTATTATATTAATTTTTGCTTTTGTATTTAAACAATGCACAGGTGTGTGGACATCATCACGTGCGAAGATACCTTATACGTTTTTCAGTGTTCCTGAACATTTCATTTTTAATGCTAAATTAATTATTGTATATCAATATTATTCTTTCATCTATTTTCCTGATGAGGATACATGGGTAAATCAAGATCCGTTGTATTCGATTAGATTATATTCTGCGCCAAGCGATGCACCAATACTGACTAAAACTATGTCGTGTTATATTGGTAAGTATCGTAATTTATGTGTAGGTGTCAAACAAACTTAAAGTTCACATTAATATGTATTGCAGATGTTGCTGACCGAGATAAAATAGTTGTAAAAACTATCACAGAGACATGCAATGTGGAAGGTTGTAATAATATAATAAAGATCTTTTCTTATCCAACTAAAAAGAAGAGCGCAAGAGTTATATACGATAATCCTCGTGTACGTCAAATATCTTCTGATGAAAACAACGATAGATATTTTTTCGTTCTAATTCCATTTTTTCGCGAGTATCGCGAAAAGATGGAGGAAAAACCAGCTGCACTATTATGTTCAAATTTAGATATCATAGTACACAACAAGCATAGGACGTTACACTTGCATAGTATTCCTATTCAAGATCCAAGAAAACTCCGTTCCTTGTTCTTTACCGAGAAGAACTCAGTTAGAAGATTTATCTACTTAGAAGATAATCTACTTCATCCAGCTCACTTGCACACAACGAATTTGGATAGCATTTGACTTATTGTGTAACATACCTTATTGATTAAATATTTAATGATTGGGTATATTTGTAAGTGGGAAAGAGGAAGAGAGAGATAAATCTGAATAAAAATGCAGAAAATGTAGTAAACGTTGTAGAAACATTGCAGAGGACGGACAGTACCTATAATACATGTTTTCATACTCCCATAAATATCATGTTGACTTGAGTTTTATAAACCGTGATGTTCTATTGCTTGTCATATCATTTGAAAATTGTTATAAATATCAAATAAAATACTTAACAATTGTAATAGCTTTACGCAATTATATGCAAATGCCTTCTGTGTGTGTAATTTGTATGTAAAATTCTATTGTCTACATTTTTTCTTCTTCTTCATTGGATCACAGAGCTTGAATCAAGCCTTTTAGGAAAGGTATAGTGCTGTACGTATCGTAGCTTTCTCTTTGTTACAATTGTAATTTTTATGGAAAGGGAGTGTATTGCCTCAATTTTCATTGCGAGACCAAGCTTTGTTTTGAAATTCACTTATCATTATTTTAAGATTTTTTAATCTATACTTTATCCAGGAAACTTGCACACAACGTACTTGGATCATATTTGATTTGTTGATGTAACTCAATATGCTTAAATATTTACTGATTCGATATATATGAGAAAGAAAAAGACAGATAAATCTAAATGAAATTTTAGAAAATGTAGTAAACGTTGCAGAAACATAAAGAACGGACAGTAGGTATATGTAAACATACATTTAGATAAATATCATGTTGACTTTATTTATATTCATCGTGATGTTTTATTGATTGTCATGTATCATTCAAATCATTACAAATACCAACACAGCAAACACCAAGTAACATGCTGGGAAATGATACATTTCATAATTATAAAAGTTTTGCATTACTATATGCAAATATTTTCTGTATGTATATATGTAATTTTTATATAAAATAAATTTTTAATTGTATACATCTTTTCTTCTCTTTTATTGGACCAAGAACCTGAATCGTGCCTTTTGAAAAAGACAGTCCTATATGTGGACATTTGTTTGCTTGGTCTAGCTCTATAACTGTAGAATTCCTCGATGACTGGTCATCGATACTATCGGAATCTCTTTTGTACTTCTTAGAATATTGGGAATGGCTAAACTGCGATACGCTATCTGGTGGCGAAAACAGAACTAAAAAGAGTAGGTCGCCGGCTGCCACATAAATAAATCGACTTAAAAACTATTAGACCGAACTTGTATTAATACCATATAAAATAGGGGTACAATTTTCCGGGGAGTGCTATAGAGTGTATAGTTTTTCGTTATCTCTTTTCTGGAAACCGATTTTTTAAATTTCTTTACTCGTAAAAATTAGAAAAATTAAAAAAATTGGTTTCCAGAAAATCGGTAACGAAAAACTACACACTCTATAACACTTTCTGGAAAATTCTACCCCTATTTTATATACTTTTGATAAAAATTCAGTCCAATAGTTTTTAAGTTAAAAACGGCCAAACATACACCACCCATTAGAATTTTATATAATAGTATAGAAGAGTAGGTCGCCGGCTGCCACATAAATAAATCGAATTGCGGCATGAAAGCGTCGAATTGGTAAAATTGCATATTTCACTTATGGGCAGTCTCATTTTAATTACTGAAATCTATATATATAAAGGAAAATGTCCTGACTGACTGACTGACTCATCAACGCCCAGCCCAAATCCCTGAATCGAATTTTTATCAAAAGTATATGAAATAGGGGTAGAATTTTCCGGAGAGTGCCACTATGTGTATAGTTTTTTGTTACCGATTTTCTGGAAACCGATTTTTTTTATTTTTTCAATTTTTTAATTAAAAGAATTAGAAAAACCGGTTTCCAGAAAATCGGTAACAAAAAACTATACACATAGTGGAACACCCCGGAAAATTTTACCCCTATTTCATATATTTTTGGTAAAAATTCGGTTCAGGGAATAAGCACATACGTCGTATTGTAGAGTGACAAGTGACCTACTCTCTCCGGCCATTTTGCCTTGTGACGTCACGACCGCCAATCCCAATAGTCTAGTCGCCAGGTCGATTGAGCATTTTTTCGAGGTTGATGGCTTTAGTTAATGTTTTTTTTATGTTTTTTGAATCGTAGAACAAGAATCTGTAAATAATTTTTTCGTAAGTCGATGCAATAAAAAGTTATTAACAATTTATTTGTTTAAATTGCCCTAGCGATCAAACTCTACATCCTATAAAAAAATGAACTGGAGAAAATTTGTTCCTCTTTTCACGATGAACAAAATGGCGTTTGAATTTTTCCAAAATCTTGATTATTGACGGAAATATGTCAATTTTTAGGTAATTACTGCCTACGTGTAGCGGAGTATCCTAGGCATGCGCGCTCGCGCTCAATTTTACTACAAGACAAGTTTGATCGCTAGGTCAATTTAAACAAATAAAAATTGTTAATAACTTTTTATTGCATCGACTTACGAAAAAACTATTTACAGATTCTTGTTCTACGACCCAAAAAACATTAACTTAAGCTATCAACCTCAAAAAAATGATCAATCGACTTGGCGACTAGACTATAAGGATGTTGTATCGCTACGGAATTATACGTAATATAGGTAGATGAGAGAGGAATAAATGAAAAGCAAATGATTCAATTGTGTAAAGTTTTTAAGTCTGCAAGCCTGGTTATGTGTCAGAATAAAACAAGCAATCTTTAAAGTAACAAAGTTTTAAAGTTTTATTAAACGATTTAACAACATATCGTACCCCGAGAAAAATAATGTCACAACTAAAAAATTCACAGATTTCAGGAGAGAGAAAAAAACAAATTTAATTTAATTTGTTTGAATTGTAGAGATAATAACTAACGCGCAATTACGATATTTTGTTATAATAAACTTATACCGTTTCTTGAAGAAGTCTGTTGCGATTCACTTGTTAATTTATTTATGACACTATATCATCCTTGAAACTACATCCAGGAAACCGCAACAAAACTAGTTTAAAAGATTCAATAAAATGTAATAATATAAAGATCCTCGAAATTCAAATATAGATTGAAAGAGGCTGTAAGGGTTACACGCGGATCCAGATGCGTTTAAATATTATAATGATTTATTTCTCAAAATCCAAATTCCAAACGTTTCGGCTCCTGTCCGAGTCATCTTCAGTGGTATAATGTTAACGACAATAATAATTATTTTTGTGTTGTGCGTCGTGTCGACAGGATCTCGTACAGATCTCTTTGTACAGATCATTCCTTTGCCATATGTTCATACCATTTTTATTTGACTTTACGATGTATTCGTTCTCCAGACTACTTGGTGAGTTATTTTAGAATTCTAATTAAGACAAGGATGTTACTCCTTAATTACTTTACAGATTTGGACCTTGTAGTCTCACTAGGTTTCTGTAAAACTTGGAAACAGTAAACTCACCATATTGTTAAGGAGAACATTTTATTATATATTGTTGTTAACATTATACCACTGAAGATGGTTCGGACAGGAGCCGAAATGTTTGGAATTTGGATTTTGAGAAATAAATCAATATAATATTTAAACACATCTGGATCCGCGTGTAACCCTTACAGCCTCTTCCAATCTAGATTTTAGTTTAAAAGAATAACGACACTTCTGACCCCTGCAGCGGATTTTGCATGTAGACTTGTAATATTATATTATAGGACGTAGGAATACTCTTTATGGGCTTAACTCAAAATTGAAATTTTTTAGTCGTGACAGCATTCTTCTTGAGGTGCAATGTATTCGTAAACAATCTCTCACCCTTACAATTAATTATGAGGCCTTAACTACTTTCCCAATGATTGATTCCATACGATTCTTTTTCTCTTTACGCGCACCTTATTTTCATCTCAAATTCTATGTCTACTTCTCTGTGACTCAACTCTATTTTGTATTCTCTATCCCTGCCTTTGTTCAAAATGCGAAGACTTCCCCCTACCTAGTCTAACTTTCAATAATCCTCGCTTATTCATTTTTGTGTACGTCGACTCATTACATCGCATCCTAACCGACTTCTATTTAACACTATTTTAAATTTTACAATTTTACTTTTATCTCAGCGAGCATATTTAAATGCATATTTATTGATATAATAACACGTGCGGTTTTAAAAACGAAAAATAACAGCAATAAAAAAAGGAAACTAAGCGAAACAAGAGAGGAGCGATTCGTAGTTGAGAAGCAAAAATTGATCGATAACAGCAGTATTTTGCTGCGCTTTGGTCCGCGAACTTTCTAGAATATGAACAGACAGAACCACGTTATTAATTATGATATTTTCTCGATTTTGCTGCAGGTTAGAGGATTCTTGGTTGTGGTCACAGAAAGTTGATTTTTAAGCGTATAAAACATTGTTTTTTTTATGTGTAACGGATTTATAACGGATATAATATCAAAATTATTAATATATAAAATGCAAGTTTTTAACAAACAAAAATGTATATTGAAATTGTATATTAAAATTGTCGGGTTTTATCGGCATGAATAATCTCATTGTGCAACCAAAATAGAGTTATAATAATTTTGTAGAATTTTATTGATTGGATTCACCATGATAGAATTTTATTTACATCTGTGACAAGTTATGGTTTTGAAGAGCTTGATTGTCTCTTAAGTTTGCTGGAATTAAGTGTTCTATTTGCAGCAGATACCTTACAACACTTATTAGTTGAAGATTTAACCAACAAAAGCCTGAGAGACATTATTTTACGCCACCAAGAATTGCAATTAAAATTTGCTTAATTATTAGATAAATAAGAATAAATAGATAAGTAATAGAATAAACAGAATGTTAAAATCATTTACAAATATAAGTCAAAAATTAAAAAATAATAAATATTAACATCTCGATTATTTCTTTAAATTCTTGTCTTATCATTATGTTCAACTTTGAACTCAGTTTCAGCCTTCGGTTGAAGCAGTAACTAGGATTTCGATTGGTTGAAATTTCAGATCCTTGATAGTAACTTTTGTGTGCGTTTACAGCCAAATTTATTATCATTTATATAGTCGTCTAAAATACACAAACTTAAAACAATATTCAATGTTATATCAAATATAATATCAAATGTTGATCTCAGGGTGAGATCTTCATTAAACAAAATTTCATAAAGAAGCATATATTATAACAGATCGAAAATCGATTCTCTTGAAGGAATCGATTCGTACAAAAATCAAATAGAGAAGAATCGATATAAAAAACGATTTTTGGAGGAAAGAGATCAATTTTCTGAAAATCAAATTGAGAACGCTCATCACTAAAAGGGTCACTTCGACCAAGCTCCGATTAACTTAATCGTTGATTAGTCTATTGGAAATGACCAATCGTATTTGTCAATCTGTTTAATGAGCAACTGCGATTGATCATTTCCAATGGACTAATCAACGATTAAGTTAATCGGTGTTTGGTCGAAGAGGCCCTAAGTTCACAACGCGCCGCGTTGAGTTGCTCGCGGAATTGCGCGACTTTGATCTGTTGCTCGCAGAAGAAAAACAGGACATTATAGTGTAAATTGAGAATTATAAAATACAGACTCAGATTATTGTTAACAGAAAATTCGAGTACACTACTCGGACTTCTTTTCACAGACATTTACGATGATTTTGATTCCGTTTTTTTTTAATGTTTGTCTGACTGAATCTTTCTAATAACAAAAACAGCGTCAAAATTTTAAAATCATCTACCTTTATTTTATTTACATTGTGTACGTACATTTCTTTACACTGTGTTTAAACATAAAAAATATTTAAAAATATTTGATTTATAATACATAAGAAGAGAGTAAATTGTTTTAACTATGATATTATAAAAGCACTAACGATGATATTATAAAAAACGGGCTAACTAAGAACCAAGCGCAGTAAATGATGCGCGAAAGTTTTTATTTTTATTTTTATTTTACATATTTTCCGACCTTGACTGCGCGCCGACTAAATTTTTCTGACTTGAAACACAGCTCCGGTTGGAGTAGTAAAATCCTCGCTACCCCTTATTAAATCGATAATAAATTAAATCCATTTGATCTCACCTAGAATGCGTATATTTTTCTACCTTTTTCCTTTTCTTCCACTGTATATACAATTTTAGTTTATTAAAATTCCAAGTGCTTTCAATACTTTGTAGTATGACTATATGATAATTGTAAGTATGATATATGGCTCCTGCACACAGGAAGCGCTTGTCGAGGCAAGAAACGACGCAGTAGCCAATAAGTTTTTGGTTTTTGGTTTTCACCAAAAAAAAGGCACACTGATTGGCCACGTCGCTTCTTGCCACGCGGCAACCGTTTGCGCATCCTGTGTGCAAGAGTGCAGCAGCCAAGAGTAGCGTCAGTAGAGTTGAGCACGTGGTGCTACTGAGCACGTGGTACGTGGTGCCATATATGTAGGAAGATGAGAAACATATGAATGGAAAGTAAGTAAATGTTATTGCAATTGTTATTGCGTTTACTTCAAAGAGCATATTTAAACGGACATTTATCGCATTGATAACACGTATTGTTTTAGAATGGAAAATAACAGCAATGAAAGGGGAAAACCGCGCGACACAGTAACATTGATTCTTAAAGAAGAACGATTCGAGGTTGACAAACAAAAACTGATCGACAAGAATCAGTATTTTGCTGCGCTTTTGTCCACGAACTTTCTAGAATATGGACAGACAGAACACGTTATCAACTATGATATTTCCTCAATTGTGCTGCAAGTGAGAAGATTTATCTAATTCTTGGCTGTGTTCACAGAAAAAGTCGCTTTTTGAGCGTACAAAACATTGTTTTTTTGTTTCTTGTGTAAAGGATTTGTTATATGAAAATTCTCAATAAAATGCATGTTTTTAATAAACAAATGTATATTAAAATTGTATTGCGTTTTATCAGCATGAATAGTCTTATTGTGCAACCGATATAGAGTCATAATAATTTTGTAGGGTTTCATTGATTGGATTCATCATGACAAAATTGTATTTACATCTGCGACAAGTTATGATTTTGACGACATGCTTGATCATTTCTTAAATCTGTTGGAATTAAGCGTTCTATTTGGAGCAGATGAATTAACAGAAGATATAACCAACAAACTTGACAAACACTATAAGTCACCAAAATATGCGATTAAAATTTGGTTACTGGCACAAGAATTGAATTTTAATGTGCTACAAGATCTTTGTTTGGCTTCTTGCTTAGATCGTTTCGATCAACTGCCATTCAATTCAATTTGTGAGT